GTTTGTCGCCATGAGCATCCATGAGATGTTGAAGATGAAATGCTTGTTTGGGCGAAGTTCAGTGGCCACGATCGGGCCAAGTTATGCTGGTGATGTTTCTAACTCCTTTCGCTTTTCTTTTCGTGACATTTTTTGCTTGTTGATCACGTTAGCAATGAGCAGGACGAGTGCATCTGGAAAAGGGAAAATCCGATGAGCAAGTTGAGGTAGGTAAATTTCTTGCGAAGGCCGACACTTAAAGTTTGTCTTTTTTGTTTTGTGGGATCGGGGAGGTGTCGGTTCATTGGCATGTCGAACACAACGATACTTAGATGAATGAAATTAAAGGAAAAAAAAAAAGAAAAAAGAAAGAAGGAAGAAACAAAATAAAATCATGGGATGTTACTTGCTTGCAACGTTTTGAATTACTTGCATATGTGCCCTATTTTAGGCAATCCAATGATATGAAAGTAGTGTGATATATGGAGATTGCGTATGATAATCTATAAAAATGAAATTGCGAACGAAGAAAAGTTTCGAAACTCGATAATATGCGGACACGGTGTGTTATATGATTCGTTGATTGCATCTCACATTCTTTTTTAGTTCAAGCGTGTCATTTTTTACTATTAGTTATGGGTTTTGATCGATGTTCTCGAGAGTTATTTTACTTAATTTTCCATAATTTGTATGCTCGAAAAAGGGGGGGGGGAAAAGTGTCCTGGAAGCAATGCATGTCCAAGATTAGTAATGGAAAACCCTTAGCCAAGCAGATGTGATTTTCCGAGATCTAGAACGTTGATGATATTAAGCTTTTGAGTGGGAAAATTACCAAAAAAGTCATAAATATTTTGCAATTGTGACAATTCAGTCCTCTATCTTTTTTTTGTATCAATTAAGTCATAAATCTTTTGCATTTGTGCTGATTCAGTTCATCTGGCTAATTTTGGCTGAAAATCGCTGACATGGACTTTGGCCACCTATGTGGTGCGGCCGGCATGAACATTTTTACATAATATTTTAATAATTATTCCAATTATTTGTCTATTATTATTTTTTCTTTTTTTCTTTTCTTTCTCTTTCTTCTTTTTTTTTTCTTGCCTTCTTCCTCTAGCGAGCGAGGTCGGCCGGCCCTAGCCATTGGCAAGGGCTAGAGGAAGAAGGGAAGAAAAAAAAGAAATAGAAAAAATGAAAATGAAAAATTCGAAGAATTATATAAAAATATTCACGTCAGTGCCCGCCACGCCACATAAAACGGCCGTCATTTATGTTAGCGATTTCGAGTCAAAATTGGTCGAATGGACTGAATTAACACAAATGCAAAAGATTTATGACTCAATTGAAAAAAAAATTTAGGACTAAATTGACACAATTATAATAGATTTATGACTTAATTATCTCGCTTTTGAATGCATCACGAATGGACACATCGTGCAGCAACTAATCAATTTGTCTAAGGAACACCAAAATCATGAGCTCCATACAGTCTCTGTCCCAAAATCAACTGACCTAATTATAAGCACCCATTAAACACAACCCTCCCACACTTGACATTCCTTTTGCAGATCTTGATGATGACAAATAAAAAAACAAAGAAAGCCCTATCGCCATTAAAACAAAAGACCCAGATTTGCTTTTGAGAGACATCTTTTTGTTTAACAGCATGGAGATCAAGAACATTGGGTTTAAGAATGTTTCCAGTGCTGACCACTTAGAGATGCAAGTGTGGATCGAGTACAAGACCCCATGATTGATGTGATCGATTCTCACCTCTCTTTTCCTCTCTTCATTTTCTTGGAAAATGTTTGCGCGTGGGGGGATTGCTCATTTGCTTTCTTAGGGACCATTATTGTTTCGAGGTCTTGTCTAGCGGGTAGCCAGCTCGAGCGTCCCTTATTGGGGACCATGTGGATTAACATGGTCGCATCAACATTCCCAACCGTTTTAATATTGAGCACGATATAATTATTGCATGGTACGATCCTCATGATTTTCTGAGTGCTTTGAGCTTATCCTTTTTATCATCATTTGTTCTTTAGAAGCTTCGTTATCTTGGCAACTCACACCATTGGTGCTCGGGGAGATCGGATGTAGATTTAACTTAGTTCTCTATGTTGGGGATAATAATGACTATACAAAGCAAAGGTTGATGGTACTTTTGAGGATTTGCCCACTAAATAGCATGATAGATCTAGTGGGGAGTTAGGATAAAATCGTAGAGATATTTTACCACTCTTCGTCTAGTAAATCTTCTTTTCAATTTCTTTTCACGATAAAAAAAAACTAACTTTAGAAAAGTAAATTCATAATCCTTGATTATTAAAAATCTCACCGATATGATGACTACATGTTCTTTTGCATATTGTATGATCCGCGACCACTTATACTCAGAGTAAAACCATGCAACCGAGCGGTAATCTTTCTATCGTGTTCACAATCAGTAAATCAAGGCTATTCTGAGTGCTCTTCATTGTTTGCTCACTATCTATCTTCATGTTGATTAGTAATAAAGTAGCAATTTCAAGTATTTGATTTCTACTTTTTTTCTGAAAGTGGGAGTGTGCAAATTAATCTTTCCCCCCTCAGTTAATTAATTTGGGGTTTTAAACATATACTTCCTGATAAAGAACATTTGATTCCATCACCTGCACACATGATGGCACCTATCTGTATCCCAAGTCACGATTCAATAAACAAAAAAAAAGCGGGTGTTCGCTCTTTTAACTTGTACAATCAAAGCCTCGCTTCGTGGCCAACATTGCACATGCTTCATATGGAATTAATATAAGTTGTGGAAACTCTAAAAAGGCAAGTGAAAGTGTGGCGCACATCGATTCGCTCGAAACTCGGGAACCATTTACAATCGCGATTTTTCATTTTGATACGCAAAAGGGTACAAAACAAATTCATTGATTAAGATTAAGAGACAGTGATATGGTTGTTTGCACTCCTAGTTTCTAGTATCTGTGTACATTCTTGAGAAATATATATAGTCTTCTCCCATGTCGTGGTGTAGCATCGTGGGCCATCACATGCAGTCAAATAACATATATATATGTATGTATGTATGTATTAATTTATTATTAATTTCGTCATTAACTATTAATTTCCGAAAGAATTATTTGTCCAGCATACAGTTCCCCACTACATGATACGTGTGCATTTGTGAAGCATCAAGATATGATTTTAATCCGGCAGATTAAAAAAAAAGACTTGGTATAATACACTTTGGAAGCGTTGATAAGCAAGCATTGATCTATGCCATTTGGATTCAAACAGAAGTTTCTCCCAAAAAGGATGTATAAATTTTATAATTAATAAAAAAAGTAAAGATGTTTTTTTCATTGCTTGTGTAACAATTTTTTTAATATGGAGCATGTTTTTTTGGCCATGATTCTTGATTCCTCTTCCAAAAACGACATTGCACAACTCAGTTATTGGACGTGGACCCCGTCCCGATGTTGTCATTATCCCAGTGCTAGAATTGGGTCCGGGACAAGAAAAATTGCACTTAGAATTCATAAAACATTTCGCTTGAAATTTCATTTCCTCTATGGAGAAACATGAAATTTGCTAAAGGGCATTATGTGATATATTATGTGGATAATGAATTTTCAGCTTATAACTAATAATGGTGAGCGTAACACCGATCTAGAGAACATTTCGGCGTGAATTTTTGGACATACAAATGAACCTAATTGCTTGTTTCCCTAATCAATTGCCATTTATTATTATCAATCTTCCGTTTCCAATTTCGCTAAAAGATCCTTATGCTTCTCCACCTCATATGGATATCCGACCTGGAATAAAAATGTCTTTTTTAAAAAAAAGTTAATATGATTTGGTGCTTGCATGCATGTCGCTGTCCAAACTACCCTTTATCTCTTCCCAAAAAACAACATTTTTCTTACCTATTCGCCTCAATTATTTTGTTCCTATGTGTTAGAGAAAGTCCCCAGAAAACATACAAGATAATATTTGTGTGTGCGCGCGCGCATAGTATATGTATAAGCACAAGCTGGCATGTTGGACGCATTGCACATGCTACTAGTCCATCACGAACCACAAAAATAAGCCTCGTTATTGTTAGAGATATTTCTCTAGAATATTTTTTATCATTTGAAGATATTTAAAATATTTTTCTTTATTCGCCGTTTCTCTCAAAATTGCGCTTATATCTCCCTTTAACTGTGCACGCCTTAGTTAATATATTTACTTTAAATAATCATCTAATAAGGCATATAAATAATCTCATGTACTTTTAATTGTTTAATACATAAACGTACCAAAATTAAGTATTTCTTTCTTCCATATATTTGGTGCACATTTTCCCCTTTTTTTGTTAAGTCTGCAGTTGTCCGAGACTCTTTCGCTGCTTTTCTCGGAAAACAGACACTACCACCGGACTTGTTGCCCATAGATGAGTCGCGATAGCCCCCTGCTGAAGTTTGTACTTTCATAAATGACATGCTGAAAATATATCCAATGTTTTTAACGGTTCTTATCAAGAGCCATTGGGGCACTTGTAGAAATGTGAAAGATGCTAAATGAATTTCTTATACGGTTTGATTTGATGAATAACCTTTTTATATTATGAATAGTTTGCTCTTGACAAAAATAAAAGATGAAGCTAAATTTCATTTAGAAATTCAACTCAAATTACTGCTTGCCGATGCATAGCAGAGAAATATATCGCGTATCCCAAATGTCACAAATCATTATGAATTTATCACCATAAAACACCGTGCAATTATATTACAATTAACAAAAATTGGCTCAGTATATCGACCGCGACTATAATGAAAAAAGCTTTCTATCTAAACAAGATTTTTAATTACATAATTGCCGATTATATACTATGCTACTTTGACAGTAATAAAGAGAATATATAGTATGCTAACAACAATGCAAGAAAGTAATTACCTCCCAAATCCAAAAAGATTTATACCCATTTCTGGTTTTCCAATTCCCTATTTAAAACCTTAGTTTCCATTACCTTCACACAGTCTTGTCCTCACACAGTCTAGCTACAGAAGAAGAGTGAGTTGTCGGATTTTAAAAAAACACATACATCTCTCCTCTTTTGATTACCTTCTCTTCCAATTTAGATTCTCAGACTCCCTTTACTCTCTCTCTCTCCCTGTCTCTCTCTCTGTATCTATATATATATGAGCTACATCGTCTGGTTTTGATAAAAGTTTGTAATAATAATCTTGCTCCTTGGCTCAGTATGTGCATGGAGTTGTTCCAAGCTTGTGGCCTCACATGTCTGCTCATACCCACCGCCTTCTTCTTCACCTTCGTCCTCCTCCTCCGCGCCTCCAGCCGACGGAGGCGCAGGCTGCCGCCCGGGAACCTGGGGCTGCCGGTGATCGGCGAGACGCTGCAGCTCATCGCGGCCTACAAGACGGAGAACCCCGAGCCGTTCATCGACGACAGGGTGCGGCGGTTCGGGCCGGTGTTCGCGACCCACGTGTTCGGAGAGCCGACGGTATTCTCGGCCGACCCGGAGACGAACCGGTTCATACTGCAGAACGAAGGGAAGCTCTTCGAGTGCAGCTATCCGAGGTCTCTCTGCAATCTTCTTGGGAAGCATTCGTTGCTTCTGATGAAGGGGAGTCTGCACAAGAGGATGCATTCGCTGACCATGAGCTTTGGGAATTCTTCCATTATTAGAGACCACTTGCTGGTGGACATCGACCGGTTGATTCGGCTCAACCTGGAGTCCTGGTCCGACCGGGTCTTCCTGATGGAGGAGGCTAAGAAGGTGAGCTTTGTCTGTGCGTGATTTTCCAGTTTTGCATGTCTAAAAGATAAAGGGAAAACAAGGGTTTCTTCTTTTTTTTTTCTTCCAAAAGAGGAGTCTTCTTTGCGTAGAGAAGTTTAGTTTTGACCCGTCTGAGTAATTTGTGGCGTCCCCATATGAGATTTACCGTCTAGTTCTGACTTAGTTGTTGTGATAATTTTTAATTTTAGCTGAAGGTATACCCTTTTTTTTATTTATTTAATTTGTCTGCTTCTTCATGTACTTAAACTTGTGGTACTTTGTGGAGCTTTATACGGGTTATAGTATCTCGTTGTCTGGTTGCTGTCAGTCAATTTTTCCTTTTACTTACTAATATTCATCAGTTAACCCCATGCGCAAGGGTCGTTCGGGTTTTCCCTTTAGTTTCAGCTGGTGTCTGTGAACTAGATTTCGTAAGAAACGCCTCACCAGTTCGCGTTGAAAAAAGTTAATACGAAAGTGGGCAGATACTTTTCTTCTTTTTGAGTTAGAGACAAGAGTCGCTGTTCAATGGAAACACGTCTTTCAACTTATTATCATAAGGGAGAGCTGGTGACTCGGATTTCCATGGTGAATGGTGGTAACCATGTTGGTTTCACGTTGAGGCATCGACACAAAAAATAAAAAAAAACGTACGAGAGGCTGTGAATCATCATCCTCTCATCACGTGTGTCGAAGCTCGTTTCGGATCTATCGTTTCTCCACCCTCTTTCCCTTTTTGATGCCTGCAACACATGCATATATTAACCCGCTCGGGATTTGGGGAGAGGGAAAACGAAGGGTTTAGATATCGGTTGTTCCTCCATTCGGAACTGAGTAAGCTTGCAAAATTCTTGCTGCAGATAACGTTCGAGCTCACGATGAAGCAGCTGATGAGTTTCGACCCTTGTGACTGGACAGAGAGCTTGAGGAAGGAGTACGTCCTTGTGATCGAAGGGTTCTTCAGCGTTCCTTTGCCCATCTTCTCCACCACCTACCGCAGAGCCATTAAAGTACTCTCTCTCTCTCTCTCTCTCCCCCTCTTTCTTTTAAAGCTTTTATATTTGATAAAATTCATGTTCCTCCAAATAATTCATTCTTTCCGAGAATATTACTGTCCAAGATATATTAGAAAAATCTACCGAAAACTACATTTTCGATGTCGAGAGTATAAGTTAAATGGGTTAAAATCCGGACTAAGAAAAGAGAGGCTATAGCTTTAGAGAAAGAGGAGAAAATCTAGGTCAACTTTTTCCGCGATACAAAACAAGGGGAGCGACAAAATTGGACGTAGAAAGGAAGACGGGGGGAGGGAGGGGTAGGGTATCTTTTATGACCCGACTGCACGTGTGATAGCGACGTTTTCTGCAATGATAGGACATTTTGTCTCGAAATTGGAATTGGAATTTTCTAAAGTTAAAACAGCACGTCCAATTGATTGTCACCTAGCAAGATTGTTAATGCCGTCATCGTCCCTCCTTTAATCAGGTATCTGTATCCATCGGGCTTTGATTTAGTGGTTTAATCAAATGCCACCATGATGGAGCTTTTTGTCGTTTATATGTTTCGTATCGTTGTTGTTTCGGCCCTCGACTCCGTTAATATGATGCTGGACCTTTTTTCACATGAACATTGACCCTAATGCGACGCGACAATGATATAATAATGTTGGATCAGCCTAATGTCCATTCTCGTGAACTTCGTCGTTAGGTTTCTGTGCATTGAGCTGATTAAGGGTTTAATTAATTGTTTTAAGGCGAGGACGAAGGTGGCGGAAGCTCTGAGCTTAGTGGTGGGGCAGAGGAGGAAACAGTGCGAGGCGGGCACGAGGAAGAACGACATGCTGGGGGCCCTCCTGGACGGGGATAGCAGCGGCGGCTGCGGCTTCTCCGACGAGCAGATCGTCGATTTCTTGGTGGCGCTGCTCGTCGCCGGCTACGAAACCACCTCCACCATCATGACCCTCGCCGTCAAGTTCCTCACCGAGACGCCCCGCGCCTTGGCTCAGCTCAAGGTAACTAAAAGTTTCGTCCCGATTTCTAAGCGAGCGTCATTATCAGTTTTGATGATTGGATGACATCGAGCCCCATAGATATGCATGCAAATCCTTTTCAAACATGGAAAAAATCCCCAAACTCTCTCGACAACATCCTTCTTCTCTCTTTTATCTTTTGGGTGACGCGAGTAACCATGATTATCGAGGCCGAAAACGACGTCCTTTGTCCATGGAATTTTTTTCCATGGAGGTGGACCCTGATGGCCATTATCAAAGGTGCTGGCCACTTTCGAAACCTCAAAATCTCGTTATCTAATTCTCAGCCGTTCACGCCCTCGTAGGATAGGCATTGGTGGCGTTGCTGCTAAGAGAGAGAGAGAGATAAAAACTGGAGCCCTATTGTTATTGTTTTGTGTGTATTTGCTCCCTTATATGTCACGTCAGAACGAGTACGTGTCACTACCCCACGGGAGATTTCAATTATTCCCCCTCCCCCCCGAATAAGTCCAGTACGATCCCTACCCTGTGGCAATAATGGAGTATGCATGTCACTCCTCCCGCCCTGCCCTTCCCTTCCCTTCCCTTCCCTTCCCTAGCTGCTCGTAAAACCGTACAAACGAAGGGCATGCTAATAAAGACTTTACTCGATGCTTCATCCTTCATGAACTATGTATATATGTTGCATTGCGAGTGTTCTCGAGGGACTAGTTAATTGCCCGTCGATTTTTTTTATTTATTTTATTTGGTGGGAGAGTGATGGGCAGCTTGGGGAAGTGTGATCGAGAATTGGGTTTTCTTTTGTTTGTTTTCTTTCTTTTTTATTTTGAATTTGTTCATTTAGTGAAATGAAGCGGGGGGTCAAAGGAGGGAGCAAAAGTTAAATTAGGGGCGGTCAAAAGGTACAAAGGGTGAAGTCAAAGGGGATAGGGGGGAGGGAGGGAAGAAGGAGCGGACCATTCGTCCGAACCGGACCATCACGATGACGACGATTCCTCTGACCACCGTCAGATCCTCAATCCCGTTCGATCCTCTTTTGACCGGACCAAGGAAGGGGGGGAAGGGTCAAATGACCAAAACCGCCCCCGCGGTTGGCCGGCGGTGGGGGTAGATCCGGAGGGCGATCCGGACATTCCGCGCGCTTCGGGGACAACGTAGGTTTTACTAGGTGGTTCTTTTTTATTTTTGGTGGGGCCCGACGTTCGGGGGGTTGCATCGGGAACCGTGCGCTGTGGGGGAGGGCTGCTGAGTCCAAGGGCCAGGATCGAAAAGATCTCGTAAAAAGGGACGGTTTTTGGCCGTCGTGTTTTCACGTGATGTTGTTCCCGCACGCATCATGTGATTCCCGCCCGTTGAATTTTCCTCGATTCTCTCGTCTTTTCCGAAAGATCACATTCATTTTAACTGATGTTCTTTTTAATTTTCTTTTTTCCTTAATTAATTATCGGATTAGAGTCTTATCATTTCGTTATTATTATTATTATTTTTCCATCCCACGGGTGATGACTTGATGACGGCGGCGGCGGCTTTGTCTTGGACGGCAGGAAGAGCACGACAAGATCAGAGCCGACAAGTATCCTCGCGAGAGCCTGGACTGGAACGACTACAAGTCCATGCCTTTCACGCAATGCGTAAGTCCGACAGCATTCTCATGGCCATTGCGTTGGCGAAAGCACAACGGCGGCTTTTGATTAGTGTTTTCCGAAACTTGAACGCGGTGGTGCTGTGGATGTGGTTTCAGGTTATCAATGAGACTCTGCGGGTTGCGAACATCATTAGCGGTGTGTTCAGGCGAGCGATGACGGATGTCGACGTGAAAGGTAAAAAAGTGGAGTCGATCGGTCGACGACTAAAGAGACAGTAAAAAGCTTATCCGTGTCGAAAAGGGTGATTGGTTCTTACCATAATCTCTATTGGAGCAGGTTATACGATTCCTAAAGGGTGGAAAGTGTTCGCCTCGTTTCGCGCCGTGCATCTAGATCAAGATCACTTCAAAGAAGCTCGAACTTTTAACCCGTGGAGATGGCAGGTATTGTGCGCTCTCTCTCTCTCTCTCTCTCTCTCCCCGTGCAATTCTCGGTTCGATCTCGAAAAATCAATCTGTGGTCAATTGACGATGGATGATTATGGATAATATGTAGAACAATTCTGGCTCGCCGACCCCTGGAAACATCTTCACACCATTCGGAGGAGGGCCTCGACTCTGTCCCGGATACGAGCTAGCTAGAGTAGAGATATCCGTATTCCTTCACCACCTAGTTACTCGTTTCAGGTACTAAACACGGCCCCCCTCTTGCTTATATTTTCTTTTCCTCACGCGAAGTGGACATTAACAATGGCGAACTCTTCATTTCGCGGGACAGTTGGGTTCCGGCGGAGGAAGACAAGTTGGTTTTCTTTCCGACGACGCGGACGCAGAAGCGGTATCCCATTTATGTTCGTCGGCACGGTGCGGTCGGGCAATGTATATAGCAGGGAGGCGAACCGTCTGAGACACGGCGAAGTCAAGGAAGTTAGCGGTCGTAGAATAGAGATGTAAGGGGGGATTCAATGTATTGGATCCAATAAGAAATCAAGTTACTTATTATATATATAGCACGCTCTTGAGATTATTTCGTTCATTGATTAGCATGCACATGCACGAAAGAGAGAGAGAGAAGGGAGTTGTGCTTATGATTCTTGAGCACAAGCAAAACATGAATATCGACCCTTCTTTCGTTTTGTTTTGGCAGAGTTATGAATATCTATCTGTCTACTTTTATTAGTGCCTGGATTTTTGCATCCCCTCGAGCCCCTAAAAGATCCTCTGCTTTCGCTTTATGTAATGCACATGTGGGAAGCAATCATGACTCATTCAACCGCACTTGATCGATTGCATTGATTAAGCATTTAAGCCCGAAGAGATTTCTTTATTTGCAATACCCCAAAGAACAATCGATTTGAATAGAAAGTTCAAGTGCAGCAGAATGCAGGGAACAGGGTAAAGGAGGAGAAGACTATGGTCATTGCCCTCCGTTGGTGGTGTGGTCTAAGTTAGTTCCATGGAGGAAGAATCAAATCGCTCAAAAGATAAGATGGGTCACACTAGACCTCACTAATATATGAAAGATTCAATCAACAGTTACCTGCGCTTGTACAGTTCTTTTGGGTCACTCTGGCTTTGATACATTGTTTGTATCCTACAGAATGATTATATGTAACAAAAAAAGAAGCCTCTAATAGAAGCCTGCAAGATCATTCCACGAAATGTAGACCCAAATCGAAAAGCCAGCCATCTCGCAGAGACTGTAGTATAAGTAGAGAAGCCGTGACGAATACTAGCGGCCTGTGGCATAGACCATGAAGACACCTCCGGAGCAAAATGAAAGGCATCTCTCCCTTTGAGATTTTGAATTGTCGCGTTGGTCGCGGAGACGCTTCCCGAGTGATTCTAGCAGAGAACACGCGCTACTGCTTCTCCTTGCTGCTTATTGCTTTTTCGACGAGCTTGACCCTTTTCAAGCTGTCACCGTCGACGAGGGAAAGTTTCTCGGTGGAGGATGTTAGTCTTGAGATCTGGTTGTCTTGAACGAGAGACTTCTTCCTCGGATGTCTGCCCTGTTCTTTATCGAGTGTACCTTGGTAGCCTGGCAGATATAGAATGTATGGATGAAATGCAAAGCGTCCAGCTCCACTGATGTTCACGTTATAGGCAACAACGCCTGCAATTATTTTGCCGAGAATGCCATTTTCAGTAGTATTGGCGGGTCATCATTTTGAGCTGCTCCCACGTACAACGATATCGGCCAAGTTCTTCAGGTCATTCCCGCTCTCTAAATGCCTGACACATCCACGCACGCACAATAAGCAGGAGAAGAGGAGAGATTACGATTGTAACTACCTTAAAATCTTTGATGACCATGGGTATGCATTCTGGGGTCATATCGTCAAGGTACAATATCGGAGTTGATGAGGCCAGAGCTCTGAGGGCCACATATGGATGTCTTAGTCGAAACCTCGAAGCAAGCACTGAAAATTCGCATTAGCTATTAGAATTTGGTAACTTAAGATAACAAGATAGCTATATCTTACTCGTGTTCAAAAGGATTTATTAGTTTCGTTGAAAATGAAGGGTAGTAACAACTCGTCGTTTTCACATAATAAAAATACCAGTGGTTTTTCACATAGACAATTAAGAAAATGCGTCGAAACCTGTCAAACTTCTCATGGGCCATTGCACTTACTTCCTCCATATGATCCTCCCACCACAGTATCTGCATCATTGATAACTTTTTTCGGCAGGGTAATGGTTAAAATGCATCTTTATAGCTTTTGGAGAACAGTTTACTGACGTTAATAGAGTTGTATGATGAATCTGTTGATCCTTAATCCTCTATTCGTTGCTTCTACAGAACAACACAGTCATTGTGTTTCCTGGAGCTTTTCCCCTTCACCGAAAGCTCCGACAAAACCGAACGCTCTTCTTTTGCTTCTTTTGTAACACTCTTCTTTTATTATGTATTGATTTAATTCTTTTGTAATTTTTCTTTGGGACACAAATAAAAATTACAAAAGAAAAGTCAGTCAATACATTATTTGGGGTAAATTTGTTATAGACGTACCACATGGGGTTTTTTATGGCCAAAAAATTAATTATGGGTAAATTTGTCATTAGTGTACCAGTCTCGAATTTTTTCGTAGTATTAATCCCAAAATTTACAAGAAATTACGTCAACATTGAACGCTAATGTTTTATACATTTTAATGTATTCCAAATGCGTTGGGTAAATAATATCACTCTTTGACGTTATAACTAGAATAGGAAAAAGGGAAAAAGGTAAAAATCAAAGGCTGAATTAAATTTTCATTGACACATATCCCTTCCTCTCTCTTCTCTAGATGAGGATTAAAAAAAATTGAAAAAAAAATATTCACAATCGTAATGATCACCCTAATCTTACCCGGTACATGATATGTTCGATAATTCTTCGCCTTTGTTTTTCTTTCTGTAAAGGCAAGGCAAACTCATCTTGAAAACCTAAACTTGAAATTAAGTTCAAATCTCGACACTGATTTATATTGAAAAGAAAAAAAATGCAACTATCGTCATCTGTCATGTTAAGTGATGCTTGGCTACTTATGTCACACTCCTAAATACATGTGATCTCTAGCATCATCAAGGGTTCTAAATATGGACTTACGAAGTGGTTACGTGCAAACACACTTTATTCTCTTATCTGTTTCTTTTTCTTACGAGACACACGCCATTGATATCACCTCTGTCAAACCATTGTTTGCCCTCGAATACAAGAAAAGGAGATCAAGCTCGACTTGAACGTGAGTTTGTCTAACTTAATCAGGATATAAGTCCAAAACGTTGCCGAATTTTGGATAGACAGGAAACGTAAAATGTGTACTGAATGAAAGTGTCAGGGCTCTGTGATTTGTCGACAAAGAATATTAGTGCCTTGTATGAGTAAAGCACTCCGACCAAAGCAATGAGACATCCTCTATTTAACACAACTTGACTGAAACTTCCATTCGATTAATCCTACGGATTACAAAATGTACCTATCATCATCATCTGTCATGATGCTTGGCTACTTATGTCGCACTCCTAAATACATGTGATCTCTAGCCTCATCAACCATTCTAAATATGGATTTGCGAGGTGTTTTTTGTGCAAACACAGTTTATTCTCTTATCTGTTTCTTTTTCTTGACATAGACACGGTTGAGATCAACTCTGTCAACCATTGTTTGCCCTTGAATACAAGAAAAGAAGATCAAGCTCGACTTGAACGTGAGTTTGTCTAACTTAATCAGGATATAAGTCCAAACTGTTGCCGAAATCTGGACAGACAGGAAACGTAAATGCTTGTCAGGGCTCTGTGATCTGTCGACGAAGAATAGTAGTGCCTTGTATTAGTAAAGCACAGTTGTGATTAATTCATGTCACTCTCTACTTGCAAGCAATAAACTCCGACTAGAACAACGAGACATTCTCTATTTAAGCAGAGAAATCATCGCTCTTGAGCTCCCACGGCTCCCCCACAGCAAGCACATTGTGAATCTCTATCGTGTGCAAGATCCATGGCGAGCCACTTCCTTGCGATCATCCTCATCGTGTGCGCTTTCTGCTCCGTTGGTGGTATAGGTATCCAGTCACTTCCAATACGCTAGCCCTCTCTTCTTGATTCAGTTCTATTGTACCGTCCCAAACATGGCAACTGAAATCTTTTTTATTCTTATCAGAGGCACGAAGATTTCTTACCACACCTGAAGCTCCTAATGCGGGTGAAGTAAAGCCTTCTAGCGTCGTACCTCCTCCCAGCCCCAAATGGGCCACAAGTCGTGGTGTCGAGGTAATTTGATATCCAGGGCGATTGTGATGCGTTGGATTCTCTACCCTCTTGTTCTTGTTTAGACTGATTTGCGAAGGTTTAAGCCTTTAATGCATTGCTAAAGGCGATGTGTTGCAGGATTGGGACCCCCCTACCCCCACGAAGCCTACTCCCAGTCCCGAAGAGGAGCCTGCAGTTCCCGATTCAGGCCCCGTTATCACCCCCGTGAATCCCGGGTTGCCGGATTGGGAACCCCGCACCCCACCAAAGACGTCTCCCGGCACCGCCGAGGAGCCTGCAGTCCCCTGTTCGGACCCGTGAACTAGATGTTATAATGACCCAGGAAGCATGTTGCCCTGACACTGTTATGCTTCAGAATCATGCGATGTACTTCGCTCCTATCAAATAAAAATAAATAAAGATCGAACGGTTATTGCTACTGTTTGCATGAAGCTTCTGTACAAAAGCATACTCATTAACTTATCCCCTTGCCTGTAATTTTCCCGGTTATCGAACGAAATATCCTGAAATCGAATCAAGGAAAGCGTTCTAGCATGGATGATACATATAGTGCTGTCACTTTACCAAATCTAAGAGCTAGCGCAATCAGTTACTAAGCACAGTAATGGATCTGATCTGAGGTCTTGTTTAATGCGATCTTCATGACGACACCTGTGAAACCTCACTAAAAAATGAATTTCATTTCTCGTGAAACATTCATCAACGGTTAACCGCGCTTGTAAAGTTCTTTTGAGTCACGCTGGCTTTGATACGTTGCTTGTATTCTACAGAATAATAATTGTATGTAACACAAGAGAAGCCCCTAATAGAAGCCTGCAAGATCATTACACGAAATGAAGACCAAATAAAAAAGCCAGCCATCTTGCAGAGAATGTGGTATAAGTACAAAAGCCGGGACAAATACTAGTGGCCTGCGGCATAGACCACGAAGACACCTCCAGAGCAAAATGAAAGGCATCTCCCTTTGAGATTTTGAATTGTCATGTTGGTCGCTGAGACGCTTCTGAGTGATTCTAGCAGAGAACACGCGCTACTGCTTCTCCTTGCTGCTTATTGCTTTTTCGACGAGTTTGGCCTTTTTCAAGTTGTCACTGTTGACGAGGGAAAGTTTCTCGAGGGAGGATTTTAATTGAGAGATCTGGTTGTCTTGAACAATTGACTTCTTCCTCGGTGTCTGCTCTTTCTTTGTCAATTGAGTGTACCTTCGTAGCCTGGCAGATATAGAATCTATAGATGAATGCAAAGCATCCAACTCCACTCCCGCAAAATGATCTGCATAACCGCAAAAAATGTGATTCATAAAAACAAGGGCTTCGAATCAACTCAACAGGTATAATTGCAGACAATTAGCTAGTATGCATGACATATCGGTAGCAGATGAAACTGATATTTGAGCAAGTTGTCTCTTTGATCTCAGCAAATAAAACAGTTGATGACTCGGAATTAAAGATTTAAGAAGCTGCAAAAATATTGATTACCAAGCTCGCACTTGAAGTCTCGCTCTGCTCTAGAAAGTGGTTTCTTGTGAGCTACAGGTAGCTTCCTCAAACATTTTAAACGTTCATCCAGAATCTCATGCTGCTGGATGGCATGATCCATCCTTTCATCTAACTCTGTCTGCTTTCTCTCAACTTTCAAAAGCCGCTCCTGTGCCTCGACTAAACGAGCATGCTGGTCATCAATTATTCGCTTTAGCTGAGGGGCATGATGCTTAAGCTCAAAGTAAACCTGGAAGATAAGATTTATGTAATCATCAGTAACTCGATCTTACTGCCAATGAGCTCCTGAAAGCACTACCCTTTTTCACAATACTTGACTAAATATAGAACAGCATTCAAGTGCGTGCTCCATGACGCTTTAGAAACTTTATGAGCAATTAAAAGGTAGATATACGACATTTGGCGAGTAAACAAAATAAAAACCAACCAGTGAAGAATCCTGAAAAATTAAAGATGGGAGCAGATCTTCACAACTTGAAAAGTTCTTTTCGGAAACATTAGGCAATCACATCAATATGCACACAAGCACAGAACAAATGCGTTTCATGAGGCTTACAAATAGGGTTTCTGGCATACACATCCCTGGGAAAGAGAAGAAAAGGAGCAAGCCAACCTACTTAATGAAACACCAAAGGACCAATAAACCCACTATTCTCTTTCATAGAATTAAAGAATATGTCCTTACCTTATGTGCATATTCCACATAATTCTCATGGAAAATCTTAAAGTACTGATGAAGGATTGACCGGCCTTCAATAGAATCAGCAGCAACAGATCGCAGATTCGATGGTGTCTGTGGAACAAGAACCACTTTAGGACCACTTATAAGTTCTTTGCTAAGCATAGCAGGAGTTTCCATCTCCTTTGACTTTTCCAGGCTTATATCTTTCTTCTCTGTATCATCACTAACAGGAAGCAAGACATCCCAAGTCTTCATCTCTAGGACAATACAATCACGACTGGAAGTAACTCCAACAATCCATGAATAACCAAATGAATCAGATAATGAGAGAGAACCACAAAGAGGAGCTGGTGAGGATGTTTCCTCCAGGCAGGTGCTCAAAACAGGATTTATGGAGGGTGTTCTAACAACTTCCTCCTTGCCATTCGCTTGACTCGTAAAGGGGAGAAAATGCAATACTATTGAATCAATTCCTCCAGTATGAAGAGCATAGATCCTTTCTGGCACTAGGGGATCAGTGAACATCATAATTCGTGCGTCACTGTTGGTCTGTTGAGGCAAAGCCAAATCCACAATTGCCAATCTTAGCAGAGGAGGAGGCTGCCCTAACCAAATCGTGTGTTCTAATGGTTTGTTAATATTCCACTTGGAAGGTTCCTCAGAGGTTGACTCGCAAATCATAGCAAGACCCTGTATCCGGTCGAAGGAGTCAACCCGCAGACGAGGTGGACTGCCTATGTTCCAAACTGGCTGAATTTCATCAGCTAGGGCATCCACTTGCAGTTGACCGCCACTCCAAGCTGTCACAAGTATTGAATCTTTGCTAACTAAATTATAGAGAAAATTGACTGCACAGCCTTCGCACTCTGCACCCCTAACTGCCAGATCATCTTCCCTTCCATGACAGGCTTTAAGTAGAGGCCCCTGGAAATCAATGAAAGGATAAACAGAATTGGTCCTTAGCCTAAATCACTATTAGATTGCAGAAAACCACACATACACAAACAAACAGACAGACAAACGCACGCACGCACGCACACATATATATAATCTTGATGGGTTAATACATGTATCATAATATCTTATACTGAAAAAAGGACCAAAACAACCCAATACTTCTTTTCAGTTCACTGCACCATGCTAAAAATTAAGCACAGGATGGAAAATATATTCTAGGCGCAAGTAAATTTATTGAGGGAACTATTCAGCAAAATTAGCATTATACCAAGGCGACCTCAGTGCGTGCCACATATGTGGGTGTGAGCACATTATCTTCACTATGCAAGCAATGTTCATTAGGTAGATGTTTGAGTAAGTATAGGTCAATCATGCATCTCCCAATATCCATTGCCCGTCAGCTGTTGATATTATCGTACATCATGGATTCAGAAGGACATTTACATCCTTGATAGGCAGTAACAAAACATACCTGTAAAGAAAGAGATGCATCAAACAATGCATAAGGATGTGCCTTTACAGTAGCTGGATTTCCCCCTTCTGCCTCTTGCTGAGCTAATTCAGGAAATGTAGCTTCCAACCAAGATATTGCCATGCTAGAGTTGCGAGCAGCAGTTGGATTTGTTGATTTTAGACCATATGTATGAGCATCACCATATATCTCCAGTATAGATTGCCATTTGTGAGCACTGTTGATGAAAGTTGATATTACTCAATTAGTCTTACTAAGCAAAAATTCGGCAAGCTAAAAAATAGTTACCCTAAGCCCTTTAACACGTGTCAGTAATTCTAATGCTAAAATTATGAACTGGAAACTATACAGCGTTAAGGGAAGAGATAGCATCTGTCAACAACAGAGACAAGGATTATTCTTGTGAATAAAAGGGCGTCCCTAGTGGACAAGGCTCCCCACTGTGCGAAGGTCAGGGGAGGGTTGTCTATCACATGCAACCTCACCTTGTATTTTTTGCTACGAGGTGATTCAACGATGCAAACCGGTCACCTTCCCGTCACAACAGTAATGTTAAGACATCGACTATGAAATTTTGAGTACAAAATAAAGACACAAAAGTACCTTTTGAATGGGACTATCGGACAAAGGATGTAAACTGAACCATCAGTAAACAGAACAAAAACCTACAAAAACAAAGATCACGGGGTTAGAGTCAAAGTCGCAATCAACATAAAAATCGAATGGCAAGGATAATTCTTGTGAACGTCTCACAAAATCAACTGAAGAATTGCAAAAAGGGGCAGCAAATTGCATCTCCAAGACACATTATGACAATACTATTGGCCGAAGGATTAATGAGACGCAAACATTTTCCTCCACATTGAAAAACATTGGCTATGAATGCAATTTATAGGACAAACAAAGGTAAGCGTAGGACTGCATCTAATCCCTGTAATTGTGCTAAAAAATCTTTTTCCACATGACTTACGCTGAATCTGTCCCACAAGTGATCACCTCCAAAATAGAAATCGACAGCGCAAATTGATGCAGCTTTTCTTGATTGACCAGGTTCCACGGGCTGCAGGTAAAATTCTTGCTCTGGTTGCATGGCATTGGCAGACAAATCAAACAGTCTTGACCAAAAAAAAAAAACAGTGGGAAACAATCAGAATGTAGTCATTGAAGTACAAAAAAGAAGAGTGAAACATGCTTAGTAACCCAAAAAGAGATAAAATTTGAGGAAAGTCGTTTGCAGTAGATTACCAAAATATAAACCATAAAAAGTCCCTCCAGTCTTAGGCTTGTCCTTTACACTACTGTGCCCTTTCAATAACGTCTCCTCCAAAGCTAAGCAAATACCATTGTTTGGGATATACGTCCCTATCTTGAGAGGGTTTTTCCTACTACTTCTGACATGCACAGCCCCAAAAATTTACATATTTCCAATAAAGCATCTTGGGGCATTCTTCCGCTTGCCCCAAATCTCCCTAAATAAGTCCCTCGTGTCTTATACTCACTAGAACCATACCCTTTGTTCCTCAATAATCATTTGGAATTTTATTATTCCTTTTGTTGTTGTTGTTGTTGTTGTTATTCTTATTGCCATTTGGCTGCACAAGGGAAGAGAGGACAAGTCACAACTGAATTTAAAGTATATGACCCGAGAACCTGGCCATAATAGAAGAGCATAACATTTGATCTATCCCAAACTAGAAAGCAAAGGTGTACACGCAATACACAACCCCATAATTTGAAAGTAGGAGGGATCTTACCTGAAAACTGAATCTGAAGAAAGGACTCCTAGATGGGTGTCGCTGTATGGGTGCCATGAAGCTCGTAGAACTCTCAAGGCATTGCTTCCATTTAAATAAATTTCAGAACCAACTAAAACAGTTCTGTCAAGAGGAAACAACACAGTACATATTAGAAGTCCTTCAGCAAAAAAAGCACTACATAATTTTTTTTCGAGGCAAATGTTCACGATGAGAATTTATCAGCCCAAAAAGAAAAAAAATATGGACCATAACAAAATACAAGGACAAAGATTTTAGCAGATATTAAAAGCCATGAGGTCTAGGCTTGTCCCTGAAGAATGACAAAATCAAAATAATAAAAGTCCCAAAAATGGAATAACATGCTCTTAATACTGCTAACATGGAATCTGATAACAAAAAAATAGAACAACAAACTCTGCACACCTGCAAATAATGTCGTCAGCAGCAGAACTACGCCCATAAAGGTACATAACACATAGGGCATCTGAACCTTCAAGAAGCAATGCTGATCCGTTCCTGTTGATGGAGATTTTATCCACCGCAAAGTTGATCTCCAAATCTGCTCGTAATACCTATTTAATGAACAATGTCGACCGATATAAGCAAGACGGACCAAAAATGTAACTATTTCACAGGATAACACCGTTCTCAATCTTTCGATTTCCACCGTCTAAGCAAGTTTGCAAACTCTTAAAGGACCAAATTTCCACTAATTTTTGCTGTTAAGCCAACAACACTGGAACCTCGGCATTCGATGTGCTGAGAACTTGTTTCCAGTTCCACGGCTTTAGCATTAGCATAACAAAAGCCATTCACCTATCCTATATGTTGCATTTGCTTAACGTGGAATACGCTATAGATGCATCGAAAGCACCAGTTCACGCAGCAATACCGCCAAAAACCACAGTTTCTTCCCTCAGCGGAATAAACAGCAAACAAATACCACAGAGGACTTCAACATACAAACGCATAGCTTAATTTGAAAAAACCCACAACACAAAATGACGGTAGAAGAACCTTAGAGGGAGAAGCGGCGAGAACAGAAGTGGGTTCCGGTTCTCCAAGCCGAACGGATATCCGATGGAGGCACCGCTGCTCATTGTCCCAGAAGTAGAGCCGCGAGGACCCGTCCCAAGCCAGGAGGTTCCGGGGCGCCGGAGGATCGGTCGGGGCGGAGGGGTCGGCGGCGGCGGAGGGGGAGAAGACCGGGTGGGTCTGGAGGGGGAGCCACCGGGCTTCCTCCTTCGGAGTCAGGGATCGGGGTTGCGGCTCCGGAGTCGAGTCGGCGAAGCTGAAGTTGAACCTCATGGTAGCCCGCCGGCGGCCACAGGGGAGAGCTGTTGGGCGCGAGAACGGCGGAGCATGTGCCCGCAGCTTGGGCTGCTGGTGTTGCGGGCGGCGCTGCGGGCGGCGAGGGAAGAGGGCGGCGGGCGGCGGCGGACGACCAGCCGGCTCGGATTTTCGGCGGCGTTTCGCTTTCTCCCTGGGCGACGATTTCTGGGTTTTCTATTTCCTTTATTTGTTCCCTTTTCTTTTTTGGGGGTTCTTTTACATGCTTTTCCACCGCAGTAAGTTTACTTTATTTTTGTCGAATAATGAAACTGTTAATTAATCCAGTGAATTTTTAATTTGTTCATTCTTATTAAAAAAAAATTTTGCTATGTTTTTCTTTTAACTTAGTCCTTGATTCTATTTTTGACCAAAAAAAAGTCCTTGACTCTATTAAAAATGCAAATTGAAATGCTGACATAAATTGCCATGTCAGTGCCATCTTGCACTAACTAAATTAATTTGTCCTGATTGGATTAAAATTTTAGAAAATTAATAAGATCCCTCGAATCCTAAAAGAGAAAATGGAGAAGAATGAGAGGAAGTAGTGGCCGTGAGGACTCCACCCAGGCACCTGGATGGTCATCGAGTTCTTGTCGGCCTATCATCGCATGGCCTTTGTTGCCTTCCGGAGAAGCACGCACATACTAATTAACAACGACTTAACAACTGCATTATACTTTTTAAATGAAAGGATCAATTTGAATAAAGAAAAATATATAATTTAGATATCACGTCATACTGAGACCTAAAGCTCAAGTCAATAAATCGCGCATCATTGTGATGACTTACCATTTTTTGATAATCATAATCTACCATAACTTATAAATTTGTAAAGTTTTGTTCAATTTCAAAATATCTAGGTATGGTATTGGGCCTTAGGACCTTGTTTTTCGAATCAAAAGGATTGAGCGAAATTTGAACGGTTATTACTTTCTCATTTAACCAGATTTTTTGTGACGGTTGTAATACTTATAATCCCTAGTTTCGAGATGTGTAATCGAAATCTAAAAATTGAAAATATTTTCATTACTGTGAAAAATGAGTAATTGGCCTCAATAGATCAAAATTGATCGCCGAATTCGTGTGGCCAAAAAAGACTCATTTTTACTAGCAAAACCCATTTTCAAGATTTGAAATGTACTCCAAGTCCTGTAACTCTTTGACCAAATCTTGATAGACTCTTGATCAACATAATGATTTGTGAAAATAAGAGGCAAAATTTGAGGCGTTTACCGGAAAATATAAAACAACTTTTCGTTAATTTGTTTGATGCTATCAAGGATGAATGAGATCTCGATTTTATTTTTTAAGTCAATATTTAACCATTTGGAAATGTACTATAGAAATTTGAAACTTCACTTTATTTTATTATTGAAAATATTGACAATTTTATCTTAAAACGTGGAACGAGGCTCATTTTACTCGCATAATTCCGACGGGCATTATGTTCGTCTAATTTTTGCTGTTCTCAGTTCAAAATTGTGTCAGGTATTGTTTTTGTCCTCCTTTACATTAATTTTGTCAGATATTGTTTTTGAGTTTGAATATCTATTTCATGATTTTTTATCGAGGAGTTTATTAATTTTGCTATTTTCAGATGATAAAAAATCGGTTCTTCCTCCTTTTACATCTTTATAATTTCCCCAATAAAATATATATAAAAAAAATCCCGCGCTATGCAAAGGTAAAAAAAAAAAGAAAAACGTCTGGTTCGGATTGGGGTTTTCTTACACGAAAGTCAAACATAGTCAGCATTTGGGCCAAAAGAGAGACAAAAACAGTTAGCACGACAGCCTGGCATTGCACCTATATTTATGTCTCGACGCCTGCGGCGTGCAAAACTCTGATTCAATCCGTGGGAGCGACGCGCTGGGGCCGCTGCGTTCCGACCATTCGCCACCGCCCGGGGACATGGCCGCGCGATCCCTCTGGCGTTCCCGCGCCAGGTTCCTCGCGGTCGTCGGCACCGCCGCTTGCGGCGGCGCCGCGGGGGCGGCGGTCGCGGCCTCCGACGATCCGGCCACCGCCTTGAAGCTCTGCACCGTCGTTCCCGTTCGCCTCGCCCGCGACGCCGCCACCGCCGCTTCGATTGCCTTCGGTATGCACCTTCGCCCCCGTTATTGCCTGTATGACCATGTCCTTCTTTTTTGCCGTATCCGCGAATCTGAATTACTCGTGTGCCGACGACTGCTTCAGAACTTATATTACGAAAGAACATGTTTGTTTCGACACAGCGTAGAGTGGTTGTATTTGAAAACGCGAGCTTTAACCACATACCGCCCGCTGCTTTTTGCCTGCGACCTCTCTTGACTGCACAATTCCAAAGTATTGATGATGCTTTTCGATGAAAGTTATCGCTGTGCAAGCCGGATTTGACAATGAACTCGAGAAGTTTATAAGCTGCGCGAGGAATGGCATGGTCTTTGGAAGGATTGGATCTGATGCAATTGAATTTTCACCTTCATTGAAGTGGCTGCTCGTGTGATAATTGGATGTGTTGGCTGTGTGATATTCGTGTACTACGTTTGACACGAAATATTAGGTGGAATTAGGGACTGTATTCAAGCCAAATCTTGTATTACCAGAAATATTATCGGTCTCATATAATTATGGATCTTTTTTGTCATCTACTTGCATTAGCATGCAAAGAGAGATTGGTTCTTGATTCGTTGATGCATTCAGTTGTGCTGGGAACTGTAACTACATTCCAAATACTCTGTTGTCAGGCCAAATTTTGTTTCGTTTAATAATTTACAAGTGTGATTGATGTGGCTCGTTGTCTATTCAAAAACACGTTGGTTCTTGTTTCTTTGGTAAATTAAATTGTGCTCTGTAACTAGATTACCAGTACTCCCTGTTGGGACTGCCAGAGGGTAGTGAAGAAAGGTCAAGAGTTAAGCACGAAGTTCATCTCAGATCAGCACTTAAGCTTCAGGAATTATGTTTCAAAAATGGAGGAATATATATCAAGCTCGGGCAACATATTGGACAGTTGGTATGCTATTGATTTTGCTTCTTTAGATGCTATTAGGCAATCTAAGCACAGTACTTCCTCTGGTATCTTTTTCACGATAATCTTAGACACCTGAGTAGGATATATGTAGGAGTTGATTTGGAAATCAACAAGTAGCATTACCGCTGTGTTAATTTATACAGGAGTATTTGGTACCTGAAGAGTATGCCAAGACAATGAGGGAGTCTATGTTGAACAAATGTCCAGTTTCCTCCTATGATCAAGTGCGGGAAGTTTTTAAGAAAGAGCTTGGTGAGACACCAGATAAAGTATGTATTCTTGTTGTAATATTTCGTAACTGGAATCATATGCATTTGCCTATGGTCTCATACGCTCTTTTTAATATGTTGAGTTTGCGTTAATTAGTTTGACTAGTGTCCCATGCATACGCTCGCGTATTAGTTTCCACATGGATGCTTCATTTTTCTCGGTTTCTCTAGTATCACTGAGCTATGCTTTTTATTTCTCCAGATTTTTACTGAATTTGATCCTGTTCCGATAGCAAGCGCTTCCCTAGCACAAGTTCATGTTGCCCGCACTCCTGACGGCCTCAAAGTTGCCGTGAAGGTTTATTTTTTCATCATTTTTTCATGTTTACTCACAATCTTCATATGTTAGGCAAAGATGCAAGTCATGCAATTTCTTATACTTCTCCTAGATACTTCATGTACTGACCTGATTCAACAAAATTTATGATGATCAGGTGCAGCACACTCACATGACGGATACTGCAGCTGCAGATCATGCTACTGTTGATTTAATCGTGAACACTCTACATCGTATCTTCCCCAGTTTTGATTACAGGTAGATCTTTAGCAATATATACGTTATCCTTCTAAGGAAGAGATTACAAGGAGTCTTTATTGCTGCATCAATATATGATTGCATACGTGTAAATATCTATTTTTTTTGCTCGCCGCGTGTAATGTCTATGTAAATATATAGGTTTGTGATTTCATTCATAGGTCGTCTTTTCTGGCAATTTAATTCATTTCCTTAATAAAGGTGCCGGAATCATACATTTAGCCACATTGCTTTTTGGGCCCAAGTATGTTGAATGTGATCTCTCATTTTTCTCACACAGGTGGCTGGTTGATGAAATGCGTGAAAGTCTGCCAAAGGTAAGTTGGTTTTAGGACATCTGAGCTTCATGGCTTTTTCCTAATGCATGTCTTTCTCGATGGTGGGTTACAAAGAACAAACTTTGTTGAAGTTGAATACTGTAAAAGCAGATTGCCAAGGGCTAACTCTGGACTGTCTGCACACTATAATTAAACATCGTATCTATGCTATGTTGACTCTGATGCTGCAAAATATAGAAATAAGTGGCATATTTTTTAGAGTCACCTCTGACATTGTTTGCTTGTGAGTTTTGATGCCTCAATCATTTGGGAGCTTTTCTGAAACTGTAGGTTTCTCTCCTTCTATCTGTGCATACAATATGTGAAAATGCCTGCATATTGCCTAAGGGAACTTTTCAGACCTGCTTTCCACCAGTTTTGATTGTATTTCTCATTTGAAGAATACTCTCCCAAAAACCTCTTTAAATAAAGTGCGGCTGGGAATGAGGTATTTCTTTTCCGAGTGACTGCACCGTAATGTACATCATTCTCTCTTCGGTGTCTATTGTGCTGTCTCGTAAACCTGGAAGGTTACGGATCTTTTCATCTAATCTCAAGATCGGAATATTTTCAGTTGGGAATTAAGATGTGCAAATATCGTGTGAGGAACATGATATTGAAAATGTTATACCTTTAATCTGTTCATCGGGGAAGGAGACTTTTCTAATGTAGCATTCATGTAACTGTTATGCAAATATTATTGTGTTGGGAAGCTGTATCACATGATTGCTATTTCTTCTAAATATGGCTATCAGGAGCTAGACTTCTTGGTTGAGGCAAAGAATAGTGAGAAATGTATGGATAACTTTCGGAAGCTATCTCCCCACATTGCAGACTATGTTTATGCACCGAAGGTATATTGGAACCTAAGTACCTCAAAGTTGTTGATCATGGAATTTATGGATGGTGCACAAATAAATGATGTGAAGACCATTCGGAAGCTTGGAATTCGGCCAAGTGAAGTTTCAAAGCTAGTAAGTTCAAATTTTCTTTTACGCATTGATATGCTTCTTAGTAACTATTTATCACAAAATAGGTCGCCTAACTCATTTTTTTTAATTTGCCAAACATGCAGTATGTGCAACAGTTAAAAAGACACTGTTACAATCACAAAATTTTTCAATTTAGTTTAGCAAAGGGGGGATGCCGGGGAGGTCTTTTAACTAAGTGGAGTTATAAATTGGTTTCTTAAAAGTCACTGTAGAATTATGAAAACTCCTTTTTAATGTGACTGCAAGGGAAGAGATCGAAGTATGTCTATGGTTTAGACTAGTTGGAATTGAGTTTTTTACCTGGCTGGTGGAAAGTGAAGTTGATGATTGGGAGAAAACACAAACTTTGGATGACTTTTGGCTCATATTTCGCAGGTCAGTCAAGCTTTTGCTGAAATGATGTTCAAACATGGGTTTGTCCACTGTGATCCGCATGCTGCCAATTTGATAGTTCGTCCTATGCCTTCCAGGAGTATTTTAGGTGATCTGCTTTCTTCTTGTGTTGCATAACATTTACTTGATTTGATAAGTTTATTTCTCATAAATTGTAAAGAGAAGTTCAGATATCACTAAAGGTGGGAAAATGTGGTCTTTGGGGGCTCTGTGGGATTCGATCATACTTAGATAGATGATTTAATCAGAATGTTGTTGGCATACTCACATAAGACTGCTAAATTTATAATCCGGGATCTTATCAGACGTTGAGTTATTCTGTAGGAAGCATGAGCTTTTCCTTGTGAAACTTTGGTAGTTTGATGTACTTTTTGTAGATCAAGAAGAAAAGAATTGGAGGACCTTTCTGAGTTTAATCGGAAAGACTGTTTCACTGCACAAATGCAATATCATACTTGTTATCGTAAACAATTAGAGGAAAACTTAACAATGTATCTCTAACATCCACCTGGCCATGTTCTATGATGAGATGGTTCTCTTAACATTACCATTAATTTTGTCATGAGCAGCTAAATACAAGAACAAGTTTAACTTCCGTAAGAATCTCAAGTTCCTTTTATTGATGCTTTCATCTTGTATCTGAGATTCTTTCTCTGTTCAAAGTTGTCTGTCCCCCTTGTTTACTTTGAGAAGGACTCGATACATTCACCTAAGTATCTGGAGTATAAAATGATGACAATCCATCTCTTGCAAAAGTTCACAAATCAAATCGCAAGTTTTACACAGGTTCACATATGAAAGCACTAGGTCTCATATTATGTTTTTGGTTCTTTGTGCTAACATTCTGCTCTTTTCTTTCTACAATCATTTAGGTAACAAAAAACCACAGTTGGTACTTTTAGATCATGGTCTCTATAAGGAGCTTGACGTGTCTACTAGGACTAACTATGCTGCTCTTTGGAAGGTATATTACCTCATTACTTGCATAATGCGGTATACATGAGTTGATTTTTTTTATGATGTTTTCACATTTTGTGTAATATAGGCACTGGTTTTTGCTGATGCTAAAGCAATAAAGGAAAATAGTGTGAAGCTGGGAGCAGGGGAGGACCTTTGTGCACTATTTGCAGGAATTTTGACCATGAGGCCGTGGAATAGAGTTATTGATCCTGCTGTTGACCATTTGGTTATACAAGGCAGTGAGAGTGACCGTTCGGAGATACAGGTGATTGTTTTCCCGAATGCCACTGATTGTGCTTGTTGGGATCTATTTTTTCTTCTAATCGTATTTACTTTTCCTTTGTTACTTATGCTCAGCACGATTATTTTATCAGGTAGTAACATGACACTCTTTAACTTACTCTAGCAGATGTACGCATCTCAGTATTTCTCAGAGATCTCAGAACTTCTGAGAAGACTGCCTCGAGTAATTCTACTGATGCTGAAGACAAATGACTGTCTACGAGCTGTAAACAATGCACTGGTATTGCATGGCTACCTCTTTATTTGCATTTATAGAATCCTGTTGTGTTGTTTAACCTTTTGGGCAATTTCTGCCTCCGTACCATGTACATAGTCTCCTGTTGACAGTAGTAGAACTTGTCATATTGGTCGTGTTTGTAGTGAGCCAAATGAAGCCAAATTATGGCAAGCCCCCTTCTGTCCCCCTCATCTGAGTAATGTATCCTGAATTATTAGTTTCATATAATATGCATTTTGGTTGATGAGAGTGGATATGCCCCTATTGTCATAATACGGGACTACTTGACCTTAATTGTCAGTAAGACTATTAAAATCCTGGAATTAGAGTAAATGATAAATATATTCTCTCTGATTTTGGCATAAATTCGGTCTGCTCTCTGATGTGCTGAATGTATTATGAAAATGTCCTTTCTGCTGAGAAGAGGAATAAGGACCATGCAACTGCTCTGGTAAACAGCTTGTAGCTTTTGCTAGGATATTGGTATCTCCAGTTTTAGAGCTCATTAGAACGCAAGGTAAGTTATTAGCAAGATATCTGAGAAAATTACCGGCTGGAGGGGTACGAGGACGCTTGTGTTACCTGTCTTTGTGGACCGTATCGTCATTGTATTTTGCAGCTTATATTTTGGAGAATTGTTTATAATGTAAATTAAAAAAGTTCAACTAATTGTGTGTCCTCCAGCTAAGCTGTGCCTTTTAACAGTTGCAGGGATCTTCACTGGAGACATTTCTTATCATTGGGAAGATATCTTCAGAAGCAGTTCTTGAGGCAAAGAAGTACGAAACAAGATCCCTCTTACGCCGGTTGTGTGTCTGGTTGGAGGAAATGTCGGTGGAAGCTCGTCTTTTCGGAATGCAGTTGGCCCTGTGGCTTTTACAACTTCGAAAAGCTTTGCCCTGGTGAAACCATAATAACTCACTTAAACAATGATAGTTCCTTGTAGTCTTTTACCCTTCTCTGAACATTATTTTTATGACCTTCACCCGAATTATATTCTTTCTCTCCATGGTTACGATCTCTTCATTCACATGGAGGATTCTCCATCCCGGATCGACAGATCAAGTTTTTATATAGGAAACAAGCAAATAATTGATGTCAATCTACCTTGTAGCACATCGGCAACTCTTCATTTTTTGAGATCTCCCCATGGGGTGATGTGGGAGAGCTACTGTAATAACAAGTTTGATTCTTTTGGAGGGACTCATATTCGGCGCTGTTAAATGAGATGTCTGCTTTCATAATTGCTTGATCTTAGCCGTGCAAGAGAATGTGTTCTGTCTCTGTCATTCACAGTTTATGTTGTGAAGCTTTCTTACGGCCCGCAAAGTAGTTTGTTAGAAGTTTCCGGCTTCGGATGGATTTGGAAAGCGACGGGACTGTCGCGTCACATGTTGCTCATTGCTCAATTTCGGGAAATTGCAAACCGGTCGAACTCAAAACCTTGCAACCATTGTTTTCTCAGGTTTCTGTACCTGAAAATTACCTTTGTTAACACAACGAGGCAGCTTTTGAACTAGTAGCATGAGAAGCCAACACGTCGCGCTGGTAAAGGAGTTCTTTTTTGTCGAAACTCGAGAAAAATACCGAAATACGTTCTCATTTTCGACCCGACAGAATAATTTACTGCAAGATCATGGGGGGAGGCACATCACATTCACATCCCATCTTCCCCATCAGTTTCAACTCATGACTGGCTCGACCTTCGTGCCGGTGGGGGGGATTAATGACCGTAGGAAATTCGATTCAAAGGCCCCACGTACAATGCAAGTGGCCGTGGTGGTACTGACGTGTAACGCCCCCAAATTCAAGCGCCGACGCTAGACAGACCCCACCAAGCTCCGGTTAACAACCAACCCACCCCAACTGCCATAAGTTGCATTTATTGACAACAGCCTTAGCTAGGGCAACAAAAATCTCCTATGCGCCCGGACCGTGTGAGTGCGAGCCCATTTCGTCTCGGCCGTCGAAACATCACGGGCTGGGATTCTTGCGATCGGACGGCCGAAGCTGGAGCGGGCTCGCACGCGCCAGGCTGATGGTTGGGTGCGCACATCAACAACAGTACCCGGCGTCGCAGATTCATCGACAATCCTCTTACCACGACCTCTTCTTCATCACTCCTCACGACGACGACCCATCCTAACCAAAACAGACAGCAATTTATGGAGCTGGAACTGCGCCGATCGAGTACACGACAACATTAAATCTATTTTTTTCTCGACATTTATATAATTACTCAAATTCTGCAATTCTTACACCAAATTTAATGAAAGTTTCCATGATCGCATTTAATATGTCGTACTCGACGAAACCATAGTGGCGTATGTGTGCGTGTCTCTCTCTCTCTCTTCTTGAACACAACCAACCACGAACACACTCCGTAAAAGCGGATCGCATTCCGGTCGACATTCTCTCCGAGAAAATCGGTGAATTACTTCACCACCGAAACGGAACTGCTTCCGTCCGGAGAAACAGAGGGCTGGGTGTTTCAGGAGGAGGAGGAGGTGGAGGAGATGGTGGGACCAGGGAGGCCTCAGTTCGTCCTGTTCGGCTCTTCCATAGTGCAGCTCAGCTACAGCAACGGCGGTTGGGGCGCCATCCTCTCCGACGTCTACGCTCGTAAGGTTAGAAAAGATGCCGTTTTGATCCTTACCCACTTCGTTTCGTTTGATCAACTGTTCTTGGTTCGATTTTCGGAGTGTTTCGTCGTGTGAATAAATACGTCTGTTTTTGCGCATTGATGGCGTTCTGTGTGCTGGGAATTTGTCCGTACGCACCAACCCTTGATCTGACGGGCTGAACATGTAGAATTCATGGTGTTTTGCTCATGGATTAATGATTACCCGATCATCGCAGGCTGATATAGTGCTGCGAGGATACTATGGATGGAACTCGCGCCGCGCCATCGAGGTCCTCGATCAAGTTTTTCCAAAGGTAATGCACAAGCATTTGTCTCCTGGAATTTGTTTATGCACCAAGGCCCGTTTGTTTCGCGAAAAAAATGAGTGATTTGGAAAAAAATTTCTCAAGAATAAATGCATATATCGCTTGAAATAATTAGTTTGATGAAAAATATTTTGGAAAATATATTCCAATTCACTTATTTTTCGCAAAACAAACGGAGCCTAATCCTGTGATGATATAGCACCTCCTGTGATCAAATGTCATTTGTCCAATTACTTGTGCATTTTGTACTTACTGTGTCCTTGCCGTTGGTTACGATGTGTCTAGCCTGGTAGAGGAAGTGGAAAATTTTTATGGGCATGCATTACTTTGGAGAAAATCTGTGTCTTTGCAAAGGAGTGAAACCTGATGGATGATGCCGTACGTACCTTGACTGTTCTTGTGCATATTAACAGTATCACCTTTCAAATGGTTCTCATCTGCGGTTATCATCGTGTCTCCAAAGCAATTGAGAATGGTTGTCTTTATAAGGAAGTACGTGCATTGAGCGTAGTTATGTTTGGAATTCGAAAGGGGCATGAGTCTGCTTGAGTGAATCTCTTCTCAAAGGCTCAGTTACTGAGCTTGCTCATGTAACATTAGACTGCTGGCCAGTAGTTTTCAGAGTTTTGGCTGTAGTATACTCTGTGTTAGTCCTAAAGAATCTCAGCTGTGTAGTTTAAGTACTTGGTAAAGACGTCTTATATATAGCGAACTTAGCTTTTTGAAAAATCTCTTCTGTGTTGCCTAAATCCTGGTATTTGAACAAAGGGTAAGCTCAATGAAGTGCAGTGCTCTGGGATGATCTTATGGGCTTTCTCACATCGTAGTTCTAACTGGTGTGTTCTTCATTTTTTTTCTAGGATGCAGCAGTACAGCCTTCCCTGATAATAGTTTATTTTGGTGGTAATGATTCAATGGGGCCTCACTCATCTGGCCTTGGCCCACATGTTCCTCTTCATGAATATGTCGAAAACATGAGAACGATTGGAGAGCATCTCAAGGTACGTAATTTGCATCCTGAGATGAAATTGTCATTGTCGAAATTCATTTTGCCCTTGCATTTGGTGGGGGCTTGTGGTGACCGCAACAGTGTGGTAGTGCTTTGATGCCAGAACATGCTCTTCTTTTTCTTTATAGTGCAACAGTGAATATAATCGATGAAAAGCCCTTTGGGGATGTATACGTGTTTACTATCTTTGTAAGATTTTGAGAATTATAAACTTGACAGTCCTTTCTGTGAGAAGGCTTGCCAAGCTTCCCCGCTTTCATTGACAAGAGGTCATGGAAGAAAGAAATTCCGGCTTTATTTGATGTGCAGGAAGAAATAATACATTCATAGGCATTTGATCTGAATTCTAGGACTAGCTCTTTGAGGATGTGCGCGCTTATATTGTCTCAGTAAGATCTCAATAATCATACAGTTAATTCTATCTGTGAGAAAAGTCGCCAAACTTCTCCACTTTCATAATTAAGATTTTTTGCTCTGCTGAAGGAAAGAATGCTTTCACAAGCATTTGATCCTAGAATTTTTAGTCTATTCAGTATTCACTGTATTTTAAGAAGCGTTATACTATCCTATCACGTGAATTAGATTCTAATGGCTATTTATATACAGAGTCTTTCTGATTCAACACGAATTATATTTCTTAGCTGCCCTCCTGTCAATGAAGACAAAGTTCGTCAAACCTCAAGGTACTCCAATGCATGGACAAATCTCTGGTTTTCTAACTAAATATCAATCATCTAATGGCATCTTTATCTTGAAATACAGTGAGTTTTTCAGTGAGCTAGTACGCACGAATGAGTTGTGTCAAATGTATTCGGAAGCATGCTTAAAGCTGTGCAAGGAGATTGGGGTGCCAGCTGTTGATCTTTTCAGTGCAATACGGAGAAGACCTGATTGGCTCAATACATGCTTTACGTATGTCCTGTGATAATATTTACTGTTCTTCATGCGGTCAAGTGTATTTTCCCGTCATGTTTACACTGCATGCTATTATTAGCATTAAGCTAAAGTTGCAGTCGGCTCATACTGCTGAAAACACAGGATGAAATTTGGACCATCTTGGTAAATCATGAGTCCTGATTGTACAGATCATTGGTTTGTGAGGCACGACACTGTCAAATTCAGGCACAATCATCTGTCAACTTCCATCACTTTCTTGTCCAGATTGAAGATTGGATCACATCAATGCGTTGAAAGTGAATGAGTTCTCTATTCTTCTTCACAGGGACGGTGTCCATTTAGCTGCTGAGGGCAGCAAGGTGGTAGTGGAGGAGATACTGAAGGTGCTTAAGGAAGCAGAATGGGAGCCGTCTCTGCATTGGAAGTCAATGCCTACCGAATTCGCAGAGGATTCGCCATATGATCTCGTAGCTGCCGATGGAAAAACAACATTGAATCCATCGGAATGGACATTCCACAGGGCAATCCAGTGGGATTAGGTCGCTGAACAGTCTCATGCATGCTTTGCGCGATCCATATTGACGGGAGATGTATGATGGCACGAGAAGGAAGGAATTGAGAATAGTATGTCCAACAGGTGTTGTAGGGTACTGCTCAGATGAAGTATGTTCCAGATTCTTGCCAGATTATCTTCTTTTCAATAATGCGTCGTCTTGTCATGATTTGACGGCCTAAGATCAGATTGTTTTTATTGATTGACCTGAGGTTAGCGGTTACATCAGACTACTCTTAGGAGGAGACATTTTATGTGTTGTGAAAGCAGTTTTGACTGCTGAAGATAGCGTACCCGAAGATCCCGGATGTCGCAGTCGGCGTCTCTTCGGTTAGTCTTGAAACTTCCCAAGCCTTTCAAAGAAACCGAAGAGTGGCGAACCGGGTTTCCATCTGACTAGGCCAATCGAAAAAAGGCATTAAGTATCGAAAAAGAAAAGCAAGAAACGTAGGCCTCGAGCGACCTCCATTCGATAAGCTCAGCTTGATCTCTATCCTTTCTCTATATAAAATCGCTCCTCAAAGAAAATATGTCCTGGTGTGTTCTTGCGGTGGTATAATCCGTTGCCGCCGTCATCGTCCTGAGTACTGAAATGATTCAGATAGATTGAAGTGAATGAAGAGATGAAATCTGGGTGTGGTCCGAATGTTTTGGAAAAAATAGGGAAAATTACCAAAAAAGTCCTAAACCTTTTGCAGTTGTGCCAATTCAGTCCTAAACCTTTTGCAATTCAGCCAATTCAGTCCTTTTGGCCGGCCGGAGCTGACGTGGACGCCGGCCGGCGCTAACGTGGACGCCGGCCGGTGACGTGGCAATATTTTAATATTTTTTTCGAATTTTTTTTTCCTTTCTCTTTTTTTTTTTTTTTCTTTTCCTTCTTCCCCTGGCCAGTGCAGCCTGGGGGAAGCTCGCGGGCGAGGTCCACTGGGGAGGCTCGCCATCGCCAGGCAAGGCGAGGCGACCTCGCCCAGCCTCGCCACGGCTGTGCGACGGCGAGGGCGGAGCTCGCCATGGCTGGGCGAGCTCTGCCATCGCCTAGCCATGGCGAGCTCCGCCCTCGCTGGTTCTCGCCAGTGCCGACGAGGGCGAGCCTCGCCGTCGCACAGCCACGGCGAGGCTCGACCTCGCCAGATCGGGGCGAGGTCGAGCTCGCCCGGCCATGGCAAGCGGCCGGCGAGGGCGACCTCGCCCAGATCTGGCGAGGTTGAGCCTCGCCGTCGCACAGCCACGACGAGGCTCGACCTCGCCAGATCTGGATGAGGTCGAGCTCGCCCGGCCATGGCGAGCGGCCGGCGAGGGCGACCTCGCCCAGATCTGGCTAGGTCGAGCCTCGCCATGGCCGTGCGACGGCGAGGCTCGACCTCGTCGGCACTAGCGAGGGCCGGCGAGGGCGGAGCTCGCCTGGCCATGGCGAGCGGCCGGCGAGGCTCGACCTCGCCCAGATTTGGTGAGGTCGAGCCTCGCCGTCGCACGGCCATGACGAGGCTCGACCTCGCCAGATCTGGGTGAGGTCGAGCTCGCCCAGCCATGGCGAGCGGCCGGCGAGGGCGACCTCGCCCAGATCTGGCAAGGTCGAGCCTTGCCATGGCTGTGCGACGGCGAGGCTCGCCCTCCCCGGCACTAGCGAGGGCCGAGGGCGGAGCTCGCCATGGCTAGGTGAGCTCTGCCCTCGCCGCCGCTGGGCGACGCCGAGCTCGCCCAACCATGGCGAGCTCCACCCTCGCCGGCCCTCGCCGTCGCACAGCCGTGGCGAGGTTGGGCGAGGACGCCTCGCCTTGCCCGGCGACGGCGAGCCTCCCCAGTGGACCTTGCCGGCGAGCTTCCCCCTGGCCAGGGGGAAGAAGGAAAAGGAAAAAAAATTCAAAAAAAATATTAAAATATTGTCACGTCACCGGCCGGCGTCCACGTCAGTGCCGCCCAGCGTCCACATTAGCTTCGGCCGGCCAAAAAGTCTGAATTGGCTGAATTGCAAAAGGTTTAAGACTGAATTGGAAAAAAAAAAGGTTTAGGACTGAATTGGCACAACTGCAAAAGGTTTAGGACTTTTTTGGTAATTTTTCCGAAAAGATAAATCAACATGCTTTTTGCAAGAGGACGACCGCAAAATGATATGATTCGTAGCTAACCAAACTTTTTTCTAAGACAAGGTAGGCTTTTGAAATAGCCCTCGTTCTTTCATGGAAATATAGTGTTTGATTGGGATGACTTCCTCCACGGTCAACGATTTCGATTGGAGAAACTTGAACGGAAATTTTCGTCCAATTGACCTAAACGAGTCGACATCATTTAGGTCAATAATTAGGTGAAGTCAACCCCTAGTCGCCTTATGGCTTAACCTATGTCTAACTTACATGATTTAATCAAATATAATCTATACGTAAATCACGCTGAAACTATTCGACATCCTCATTTCCTTCTTCTTCTTTTTTCTATTTTTGGAGACCATTAAAATTGTCACCCAAGCTCTGGGAAAATTGTCGGGAAGCCGTCGGAAAGTCTAAACATATTGCACTTTTACCAATTCGGTCGTAAATTTACCATGAACTAATTTTTTTACCACCAAAAACTCCAAACTGGTACACATGCGATAAATTTATTCCAAACTAATTTTTTGATCACCGAAAAGCCCACCTGTACACTTGTGATATCAAATTAGATTACTATTACAAAATACCACAAATTGATAAATATGTGACAAACAAATGATAAAACCCCAAACTAGTACACCCGTTAATTGCCACGTGTCATCAAACTCAACAATTTGATGGCAAAATTTAACGGAAACTGACGGAGAGTAACACTACAAAAAAACAAGAGTTTTCCAACGAAATTTCCAACGAAAAATTCGGCAAAATTCGTTGGAAAACGAATTTCCAACGAAATTTGTGACGAAAAAAAATTTGTTGGTAATTAGTCGTCGCAAATTTTTCCGACAAAAAATTTAAATTTTCATTGGTAATTTGCAACGAAATTTTTTCGTTGGAAAAATTTCGTTGGAAAAATTCGTGGGAAACATTCGTTGGAAAGTTCGTTGGTACTAATTCGTTGGAAAAAACGTGGCAAAATTCGTTGGTAATTTCCAACGAAATTAGCGACGAAAAAAAATTTGAATTTTCGTTGATAATTTCCCACGAAAATTAATTCGTGGCAAAATTCGTCGCTAAAAATCGTTGGAAAAATTCGTTGCAAAATATTCGTTGCAAAAATCGTCAGAAATCCGCGAAATTTTCCGACAAAAAAAATACAATTCTCGTTGGTAATTTCCGACGAAAAAAAAGTTCGTTGGAAATCCCAAATTTTTCCGACAAACAATTTTTTTTTTAAATTTCCAACGAAAAAAAAATTCGTTTGAAAACGCGAATTTTTGCGACAAATAATTTTCGGTGATAATTTCCAACGAAAAAAAAAATTCGTTGGAAATCCCGCATTTTTCCGACAAACAATTTTCGTTGGTAATTTCCGACGAAAAAAAATTCGTTGGAAATCCCTCCTATTTCCGACAAACAATTTTCGTTGTTAATTTCCAACCAAAAAAAAAATTCGTTGGAAATCCCCAATTTTTCCGACAAAAAAATTTCGTTGGTAATTTCCGACGAAAAAAAAATTCGTCGGAAATCCCTCATATTTCTGACAAAAAATTACAATTTTCGTTTTTAATTTCCAACGAAAAAAAAAATTCGTTGGAAAACCCGAATTTTTCCGACAAACAATTTTCGTTGGTAATTTCCGACGAAAAAAAATTCGTTGGAAATCCCGAATATTTCCGACAAACAATTTTCGTTGTTAATTTCCCATGAAAAAAAAATTCGTTGGAAATCCCCAATTTTTTCGACAAAAAATTTTCGTTGGTAATTTCCGACGAAAAAAAAATTCGTTGGAAATCCCTCATATTTCCGACAAGAAAATTGCAATTTTCGTTTTTAATTTCCAACGACATAAAAATTCGTTGGAAATCCCGAATATTTCCGACAAGAAATTACAATTTTCGATTTTAATTTCCAACGAAAAAAAAATTTCGTTGGAAATCTCGCATTTTTCCGACAAACAATTTTCGTTGGTAATTTCCGACGAAAAAAAAATTCGTTGGAATTCCCGAATATTTCCGATAAGAAATTACAATTTTCGTTTTTAATTTCCAACGAAAAAAAAATTCGTTGGAAATCGCGAATTTTCCGATAAGAAATTACAATTTTGGTTTTTAATTTCCAACGAAAAAAAAATTCGTTGGAAATCACGAATTTTCCGACAAGAAATTACAATTTTCGTTTTTAATTTCCAACGAAAAAAAAAATTCGTTGGAAATCCCCCATTTTTCCGACAAACAATTTTCGTTGGTAATTTCCGACGAAAAAAAAATTCGTTGGAAATCCCGAATATTTCCGATAAGAAATTACAATTTTCGTTTTTAATTTCCAACGAAAAAATAATTCATTGGAAATCGCGAATTTTTCAGAAAAACAATTTTTGTTGTTAATTTCCCACGAAAAAATCATTCGTTGGTAATTTCCGACGAAAAAACAATTCGTTGGAAATCCCGAATATTTCCGATAAGAAATTACAATTTTCGTTTTTAATTTCCAACGAAAAAAAAATTCGTTGGAAATCTCGAATTTTTCCGACAAACAATCTTCGTTGGTAGTTTCCGACGAAAAAGAAATTCGTTGGAAATTTCGAATATTTCCCACACGAAATTACAATTTTCGTTTTGAATTTCCAACGAAAAACAAATTCGTTGGAAATCGCGAACTTTTCCGACAAACAATTTTCGTTGGTAATTTCCGACGAAAAAAAAATTCGTTGGAAATCGGGAATTTTTCTCACAAACAATTTTCGTGTTAATTTCCAAAAAAAAAAAATTCGTTGGAAATCTCGAATTTTTCCGACAAACAATTTTCGTTGGTAATTTCCGACAAAAACAAAATTCGTTGGAAATCCCGAATATTTCCCACAATAAATTGCAATTTTCGTTGTTAATTTCCGACGAAAAAAAATTCGTTGGAAATGTGGGATTTTTCCGACAAAAATTTTTCGTTGTTAATTTCCAACGAAAAAAAATTCGTTGGAAATCGCAATTTTTTCCAACAAAAAATAGCAAGTCTCGTTGGTAATTTCCGACGAAAATTTAATTCGTTGGAAAAATAATATATAAATTCATCCTTATTCGTTGCAAAAAATCGTGGGAAATCCGCGAAATTTTCATCCAAAAAATTACAATTTTCGTTGGTAATTTCCAACGAAAACAACATTTGTGGGAAAATACTTTGCAAAATTTGACGCTAATTATTCGATGCAAAAATCGTTGGAAATTCGATTTTTTT